ATTTTTGGAATTATCATTTTGTTGTTGTTGTTGTTTTTGGTTCTGAGGTTTTTTAAAAGAAAATGTACCCTGACACCTGCAACCAACCCAACAATGATTTTTTTCTTTTAATTGGTGGCTGGCGGGTATGGAGATCCAAACTCTTTTTTTTTTTTTTTCCCTTTTTTTGTCTTTTTCCTTGTCCGGCAACGGATCGCAACCCTCAGTGTCGCGCCCGTACCGGACTGGAACCGGCAACGGGATCGCAACCCTTGGTGCCGCGCCCGCACCTCGCTCAGCCAGTGAGCGGGAACCGGTCTGTATGTGGGATCCGAACCCTCAGCAGGAGCGCCGCTGCGCTCCCAAGCGGCGCACTGTAGCAGTGCGCCACCGGGCTGGCCCGAGATCCAAACTCTTGACCTTGGCATTATCAGCACCACGCTGTAACCAACTGAGCTAAATGGCCAGCCTCACTAAACACTAACAGTGGGAAATGACGGTGTATGTTGTCTGTTGCCTCCCAGCAACCACCCCCTTTCTGCTCCTGTCCCTCCCCAGTTTTGTTCAAGTTTCTACCCCTCCCCCAGGCAGCCTAGGTGCTTCAGAAAAGTGATCTCATCCCCAGCTCCTTGGAAGGCCTGATGGGTCAAAGGGTAACTTTATCCCCCTGCTAGTGAGTGCATGTGACACATGTGGGCCAACAAGAAACAAGGAGCAGTTTATAGGAGGCTCTTGGCTGATGTTTGACTTTGATCAATAAAAAGGGAGGGAGTGACTTTATGAGACATCTGAGCCTAGGACTCTCAGATGCTGCCCTGAGAACTCCATGTACAGAAGGCAGTATACCCTTCCGGAAGATGAGAGGCCATGTAGGGAACTGAGATGCCCTGGACAACAACCAGCAGCCACTGCCATCTGAATCTCCTTTGAATCTCATCTCACCATGAACGAGGCGATCTTGGACCTGCCAGCACAGCCGGAGGCTGAAGGAAGCTGCATGAATGAGCCCAGGTGAAACCAGCCAATCTAAGGATCATGAGAAGTAGTAAATCAATGTTGTCTAAAGCAACTAAGTTTTGGGGATAAATGGTAAGATTCAATGAGGTTATAATGTGGCCTGGTATGCAGCAAGCACTCTATAAATGCTGGCCATTATCATTGATCTCGCGTTTCTGCTCTTGTCCCCAAGCTGTTCACTCCCTCCTTTGGAGAAGCACTGTGAAGGCTCATGATGACAGGCAAGAAACCAACTCTGGTAAACCCTCAAGGAATTTACATCAGCATCAGGAGGGCATCAGTAGGGCAGGAGAACCTAGCAAAGCAGCTCAGATGCTTGAGGCCAAAAAGAAGGACTAACATCTGCCATGTGGCAGAGGCTTCTGGGTATCAAATAATATTTTCTTATTGTCCAGTTTTTTAGTTGGTCTCCTGAGAGAAAAACTACCTTCCCTAGCCGCTTGTACAGCAAAGAGTGCCATGTGACTAAGACCAAGTCCTAACCATACAATAGAAGCAGGGAAGTGTTGCCTTCTTTGTTCCTTCTTGCTTGCTGGAATGTGACAAAATGGCTGGAGCATGAGCAACCTTTTTGGACCCTGAAGCAGATGCCACCTGTTAAGGACAGTGGATTGACCAGATAGAAGGGGCCCAGTGATCATGCAGCTGCTGCACCACCTCTGAGCTCCTGTATCTGCTTGAGAGAGAAAGAAATATCTGCCATGTTTAAGCCACTATAATTTTGGCTTATAGTCAAATCTAATCCAAAGAAATGCACTTCCATGTCTCCCTCTCACAGATGAGAAAATTGATGCAAGGGGACAGCAGGTATGGCTATAACACAAGGATAACAACTTCAACAACTACCAATATTCATCAACAACTACCAGGCCCTGCCTTCCTGACCTCCTGGCCTTTCGTTACCCATTCATTCCCCTGCACTCCAAATTACTCCCATTCCCTGAACCATGCACCAAGTACATTCACACCTCCTGGCCTTTGCTCTTGCCATGCCTACTGCCTGGCATCCCTCCCTCACCTTTGCTCCTTGGTGAAATCTTCCTTGTCTTTGGGCAAATTAACTTTTATGAGCCTCAGTTTTCTCTTCTGTAAAATGGGGCCAAATAGCAAGTGTATGTAAAATGCCTGGCACACAGTAATAGCCACCTACAAACAACAGTTCCTATATTAGTCCTTTCTGTTGCTTATAACAAAATACTTGGAACTGGGTGATTTATACGAAAATGAAATTTATTGCTTACAGTTCCTGAGGCTGGGAGGTACAAAGTCCAGGGAACACACCCGGTGGGGGTCTTGGTGGTGGCGACAGTGATGGCAGGGTAGCACATGTCAGAAATGGTGGAAGCAGAGAGAGACTAATCTCTCATGTGCTTTTCTTTTAAAGCCCTCAGAACCAAGCCACTGACTACCATTTTTAATCCATTCACTATGGCACAGTCCTACAATCTAATCACCTCCTATCCCACCTTTCAATTACCATAATAGGATTTCCCACCCTCCCAACAGTCACAGTGGGGGCCAAGTTTCTAATACATATAACTTTGGGGACACAATTCAAGCTTCAGTTAGTTTGGGGGGACATTCAATCCACTACATTTCCCCACACTTTTTTCCCAAATCCCTTCCTGATCTCAACCCCCACACTCTTCAAGTAAGAAAAAAGATAGCAAAACAAAAGCAAAAACAGCATTTATTGGATTCTTATAACTGGAAAGTCCAGAGGAAAGTCACAGTTGAGGTAAGGTTTGCTCTAGGGACTCAGTGCTAATAGTATAGCTAAAATTTACTGACTGCTTACAATGTGCCCAGCACTCATCTAACCACTGTATATTTATTAATCCTTTATCTTCACAACAAGCATATGAGGTGGGTATGCTATTATTATCTCCATTTTCCACATGCGGAAACTGACATTCTGAAAGAGTAAATAATCCTCACACAAGTAGTGATGCCGAGACTTAATCCTAAATCCATCTGACTGGAAAGATAGGGCCACTTTCAGGAGAGGCTTGATCCAGCCACTCAAAGATCTCAGCAAGTATCTGGTTTCTCTTGGTCTCTCCTCTTTGCCTTCTCTGATGTTGAACTCACCATAAAGATGACCCCTTTCATGGCTGCCAGCAGATTCTGATGAGACTTGCTTCCTCATTCATATCCCAATTCCAGGATTCTGAAATTCACTGTAATTGGAACATCTGAAGTCATGTGCCCATGTCAACCAATCACTGTGTACAAGGAGGCTGGACAATGCTGCTTGACTTATACTAAAGCGGGGGCGGGGGCAGTTCCACACAAACAGCATCTGAGAATGAAGGCAAGAGAGAGTCCTCCAAAAATTGGGGGTATTGTTTCTATGAAGGAGGGAGAATGGTTGTCAGCAGCCAAAAGCAGATGTCTACACCCCCATGACTCACATGTACAATAAAGCATTTTTAAATGGACATCGTGGGGGAAAGGGAGGCTTGGTTTGGGGATGGCTGTGCCATAGCCCAGGCAGGCAGCATCTAGTCAGCCCCTCCATGACCCTCCAGGGAAGGTGGCCTTCCTGTCCACACCTGCACCCCTTGGTGGTGGCAGATCAGGAGGCAAGCATGCTCAGGGTGTTGGCAGAAAGCCTGCAGCAGGGCCAGAGCATAACCTGGGGCACTTTCTGCTGGGTAGGAGGCCCTGCTGGGAACAGGGGAGATGTGTCCAGTGACTGGCTCAGGGAGCAGGCGTCCCCAGGTAGGCACACACAACCTCTCAGGAGCCCCTGACATCCGAACTACACAGTGGCTCCTGCTTGCCTCTGAGGCTATTGTCACAGCCTGGGAAACTCTCCCTGCCCCCCGTCCTTCTTTCCAGGCTATGGCCTGGGTTCTTGAGATCCCTGTGGGCACCAGACCTGCTGCTTCTTAGCAACCCAGACATTCAGTCAAATCATTACAATGCATCTACAACAGAGGATTTTTAGGGCAGTGATCTACTCTGTGTGATACTGTAATGGTGGACACACGTCATACACTTGTCCAAACCCATAGAATGTCCAATACCACAAGTGAACCCTAATGTAAACTATGGACTCTGGGTGATAATGATGTGTTGATTATAGGTTCATTGATTGTAACAAATGCACCACTTTGGTGGCAGACGTTGACAATGGGGAAGGCTGTGCATGTGCAGGGACAGGGGGCATATGGGACATCTCTGTGCCTTCTCAATTTTGCTGTGAACCTTCCTACCTCAGGGCCTGTGTGCTGGCTGTTTGCTCTGCCTGGAACACTCTTCCCCTACAATCCCACAGGGCTCCCTCCTTCCTGTTCTTCAGGTTTTTGCTTACATTTCAACTTATCAGTGAGACCTTCCCTGGCCACCCTCATTAACAACTCAACCTGCTCTTCATCCTCCCAATTTCCAATGCTGCTTACCCTGCTCTGTTTTTCTCAAAGCAGCCATCACCTTCTAGCACATTGCAGAGTTTATTTCCTATTATTTATTGACTATCTCACACCTTCATCCCTGACTGTCAGCTCCATCAAGTGAATATTTTGTCTTTTTTTGTTTATTGCCATGTTTCCAGTACCTCAAACAGGTCCCGGTATGTAGTACTTGCTTAATAAATATCTGTTGAATGAATGAATAAATGGATTGGAAAGGATTTGAAATTATAAAGATACTCATTTTTGTGCTTAATTTTTATAGTTTGGAGACTGCATAAATATGGGATCTTAAACATTCTACTAGACACAGGTGCTGCGTTCACAAAGGAACATCTCTTAGGAATGAGGCTCCATTCGCTACAGGTCCCCTCCCACCCAGCATGGGGCCTGGTGCAGAGCAGGTGTTGAAATGTTTGCTGGCCCATGGATGGTCAGGTGGGCTGAGAGGTCGAGAAGGAAGTCTGCCGAGTGAGCCCTCATCACTGCCTCCCTTGACCTCTAGTCCCTGCCCTCATCCTGATTCTACCCCCATCCCCTTTATTCTTGCCTCTGTCACTGTCTGTCCCCCCTCCTTTGTCCCTCCAGGTTTGCCACCCTCTGAACAGCTGGAGAGATCTTTGACCCTGCAGGGCTCCCTGCTGCCCTTGGGATAAAGTCTAGAATATGTAGGGCGCCGAGCATACCAAGGCCTACATCAGACTTCACTGCTTCACGACTCCCTTCATGCTACACTCCAGCCTAACAGATTTCTTTTTTTCCAATTAAGTGAGTAAAAACAATCTTTCACCTCTAGGGCTTTGTACATTCTGTTCCCTCTGTCTGGAAGACTCTCACACCTCAACTAACCCCCTTCCAGGCAGCTCTCACTTAACCTTCAGATTTCAGCTCAGTTATTCCTTCTTCCAGGAAGCCCTCCCTGATTTCTCACCCTGGGGTAGGTCACTCCTGTAACATATGAGGGTACTTCAAAAAGTTCGTGGAAAATAGAATCTAAAGATAATATGAATCTTTCTGTGAACTTTTTGAAGATCCCTCATATGTATTCTCATAGTCCTGATTATGATTATAGATCTGATTTATTAATACCTCCCTAATTCCATCTCCCCCCATGCCCCATTCTCCCCTTTGCTCTCTGCTCCAGCCACATGAGCCTTCTTGCTGTTCCTTGAACACACCAAGTGTGCTCCTGCCTCAGGGTCTTTGCACTTACTCTCCTCTGAGTATCTGCATGATGGCTCATTCAGTTCCTTTTAGGTGTCTGCTCAAATGTCACCTCAGAGAGGCCTTCCCTGACATCCTCCCCGTCCCCCACCTAATGAAGCATCCCCATCATTCTCCACCCATCTCCATTTCTTTCTACAGCGTGTGTCCCTACCTGACATTAGATCATCTCACCTGTTAATTGCCTGTTTCCCTGGCAACTGTGAGAGCAGGGACATCATCTGTCTTGTGTGCTGCTGTATCGCCATCATTTCACACAGCATCTGCCCCATAGCAGGCCTCAGTAAAGATTTGGTGAATAAATGAATGGGCTGTCTGGATCAGTATGACTTGGGGCAAGTCATGGGGGCTCCATCTCCCAGTGGACACCTCAGGGTGTCCATCTCAGGCTAGCCTTGCAGCCTGAGTCTCAGGGCTGGAAGGAGCTGAAGAACAGAGACCTAAAGGATAAGCAGCCAGCCATATGACTCTGGGGAGAGCGTGCACCAGGAAGCAGGAGCAGCAATTGCAAAAGGTCCTGCAGCAGGATGACAATAGGAGATATTGGGAGACGAGGCTGGAGAGTTAGCAGGACCTTGAGTCAGGTGATTTCATCCCACCACCTCCACAGTCACAGATGGGGGAGATAACAAATGTTTCTGCAGTGTCTCCTATGTGCCAGTTGTCCCACCTCTAGCTGTGCTCACCGTGAACCTTGCAACAGCCTGTGAAGCTGTATTCTTTCCAGTTCACAAAGGAAAATGGACCTCTGTCGGCTCAGTAATTTATCCATAGTCACGCAGCTGTGCAAGTCTAAGCATCAAAGACTCTTTCCACCACACATCACTGCCCTTGGCCATCACCTCACCTTAGGTGTGTGATTCCACTTCTTCCCTCCTTTCTGGCTTTGCTCTAATTTGATGACCAAAATTATATATCATTCTCTAGGCCAAAAAACAACTTTGATGCCTACTTGACATATCTACTTGGGATATCCAACATGCAGCTCACATGTAATATGCCTCAAACAGAAACCTGGGAATCAGATTTCTCTTTCCCTCACCCCCACATCCCATCCACCAACAAATCTTGGTCACCCCACCTTCAAAATGCATCCAGAGAGATCCAATCAAGATGGCGGAATAGACGGTCTGCAGCATCACTCTCTCCCACAAATCAACCAATTTGCAACTATAAAAATGTAACATCAGCCAAACCAGAGCTGCTGGAGCTCAGGGGAAGAGGAGGAGAGACCTATGGAGTTCATGAAGATGGGAGAAACCACGATGAGAGAAACAAAAAGCTGCTCTGAGTGTTTCGGGCCATGGCCGCTTTAAGGCTCGAGCTGATGAGCACATGGAGCCGGAGACGGCAGGAGCCGCAGCTGTGCCCTTCAGGTGGAGTTACTTGGAGGCGGCAGGGGAGAAGAGGGCCTTGGTGGCCCCAGGACAGCAAGACCACTAATAGGGTTCCCGTGGACCCACGCAGGAGCGAGGAGCCAGAACAACTGAAAAAAGGGAGCCATTCAGAAGCCGGTGAGTCATCTCAAGGGACCAGCATAGGGCCCATCCCATGAGAAGTGTTTGGAGCACGGGTGGTAGGGGAGACGTGCCCACCAGTGGAACACTGGGACACAGCAAGGACAGATGACCCACCCCCCAATCAGCACAGGACCACTCAGAGGAGACTGGTCAGGAATGCAGAACTGCATGGGGTGCAGTTTGATGAAAAAACTCAGGCCCAAATGAGAGATTCTACAGAACACAGATCCACCGGGTCTCTGGAGAGCCAGAAGTACCTATAAGATCAACCATTAAACCCTGAGCTGCACAAAAAGCCTTCCCTAGGGAAACATCAGCAAAGTAGCAATTTAAACAACCACACACTCAAGTACTGGTTCCCACAGGAAGTTCCCCCGTGTTAGAAGCAAAGGACAAAAACTTAGTTCCGGCCCAGGGACACCACCAGCACCTTGGGACCTGCCTGGGAACTGCAGGCTTGGATCTGGGGACTGGACCCCACTCCCACTTCCAGACAAACTGCACCAGTACCTTGGGGCCAACCTGGGGATCTGAAGCACGGAGAAGGGGACTGGACCCACAACCAGGCACACCACGCCAGCACCTTGGGGCCCACCCTGGGACCCAGGGCATAGAGAAGGGGACTGGACCTCTCTCCCACAACCAGGCACAACATGCCAGCAACTCGGAGCCCACCCAGGGACCTGGGGCAAGGAGAAGGGGACCAGAACACCTTCTCACAACAAGGCACACCATGCCAGCACCTCAGAGCCCACTCAGGGACCCAGGGTATGGAGAAGGCGACCAGACCTCTCCCCCACAACCAGGCACACCAAGCCAGCGCCTTGGGTCCCACCCAGTGACCCAAGGCATGGAGCCAGGAACCAGACCATCCTCCCACAATAAGGCACACCATGCCAGTACTTCGGGGCCCACCCAGGGACCTGAGGCAAGGAAAAGGGGACTGGACCTCTGTCCCACAACCAGGGACACGGTGCCAGCACCTCAGGGCCCGCCCAGCCCAGAGGCATACAGAAGGGGACTGGACCCTCCTCCTATACCAGGCACAAAACGCCAGCACCTCGGAGCCCACCTAGGTACCAGAGGCATGGTGAAGGGGACTGGACCCCTCTCCCAAAACCAGGCACATGACGCCAGCGCCCTGGGGCCTGCCCAGGGACCAGAGGCATGGAGAAGGAGACCAAACACACCCCACAACCAGGCGTACAGCCAGTGCCAAGGAGCATGCCAAAAACAGCACGACCACGTGGGTGGCCCACCATAGCCACCACAATAACCATGGCTGCTGCAAAAGTGGCTAGACACCACAACCACCACACAGATGGTCCGCCAACCACTGGAGTGCATTGTCACCAGCAGGGACAAAGAAGAGGATGTCTCTTTCCACAAAACCCATTTCAGAGTGACAGAGGAAGCATCTGCTCTATGATAATATTGGCGGATCTGATCACGTCTCTCAGCATTGGACAGATCATCTAGGCAACAAGTTAACAGAGTAACCATTATTCTTTCAGAAGGAGAGAAGAAATCTAGGGTAATTACAGGGAGGAGGGGGAGGGAGTGGGGGAAGGGGAGAGGTTGGACAAGGGGCATAAAGAATAATTATGATTTGTAACAATATATGTGCTAATAATATTGATTTAATAAACACATCTCAATGTTCAACCCAAAAAAATGTATAATCGATTTTGATTCAATAAATTAAAAAAAAAAAGAAAGAAAAAAAAATGCATCCAGAATCAACCACTTCTCTCACCTCCACAGCCACCACTCTGCTCTGACCCTCCATCGCCTCCTGTCTGGACTATTGTGGTCACCTTCTCCCTGGTCTCCTGCCTCCACACAGCCCCTGAGTCCATTCTCTGCATGCAGTCAGAGGGATCCTATTAAAATGTAAAGTCAATCTCACTGTACAATTCTTTTTCAGCGCTGTCCAACAGAATTTTCTGCAGTGGCAGAAATGTTCTATATCTGTACTGTCCAATTTATTAGCCATAAGCCACATATGACTATTGCACACTTGAAATGGGCCTAGCATAACTGAAGGACTGAATTTTAAATGTTATTTAATTTTACATCTTTGATAGCCACACTGTATAGGAAAGGCTGCGGGAAAAGGTGCTCTCAAACACTGCTAGTGGGAATATAAATTACTATATGATTCCAATAGCAATACCTATCTCCCTACCAGTCTGTCAATACTTATAAAATGACAAAGATATTTAACATTTGTCAGAGCAATCCCATTTTAAGAAGTGTGTTCTACTGATCTACCTGCACATGCAAAACACAACGTTATGTACAAGGTTTATAACACCCAAAGACAGGAAACCACACAAGTGCCCATCCATAAGCAGCCAGTTAAATGAATTGTGGTCCAGCCACATAGTGGAATATGATACAGTTGTAAAAAAAAAAAAAAAGAATGAGGTGATAGGACACCTAAAGCACAAACAACCAAACACAAAATGGATAAATGGAACTTCAGCCTGCTAACCCAGTTTTAAAAAGAGCAAAGGATTTGAATAAATCTTCAAGAAAGACATACAAATGGCCAATAAGCACATGAAAAGATAGTCTATAAAATTAGTCATTAGGGAAATGTAAATCAAAAACACGAGATGCCAGTTCACATCCATTAGGATGTCTATAACCTAAAGTGGGAAATATCATATGTTGGTGAGGAGGTGGCCTACTGAACATACAGGAGCAAGACTTCTCAATGTGTACCCTTTTATATTATTTTGATTTGCAAAGTATGCAAATGTCTTAGCTTTTAAAATAAAATTATATTTATTCCTTTTTTTTTTTTTTTTTTGGCAGCTGGTTGGTATGGGGATGGAAACTTGACCTTGGTGTTACAAGACTGTCATCTAACCAACTGAGCTAACTGGCCAGCCAATAAAATTATTTTTAAAAATGTAAGTCAGATCGTGTCATTCCTCCACTCAAAACCCTACAGGAAGGGATTTCCCAGCTCATTTTAAGTACAAACCAAAGGACTTCTAATCTCTTAGGGCCCTGTCCCATCTTTCCCTCTCCCCTTCTCTCACCTTCCCCTGCATCACCGCCTCCTGTCTCACAGGCCTCCTGGCTCTTCCTGGAACATGGTAAACGTGTATGTTCCTGCCTCAGGACCTTTGTGCTTGTTGCTCCCAGATATTTGCACAAGTCGCTGCCTCATCTCCTTTAGGTCCTGGCTCAAACATCGCCTTCTTGAACAGGCTTTCCTGACCTCCATTCCCACCTCCCAGGAGAGCAGAGACTTTGTCATGGTCCCTGCTGTTGGTGAGTAGGGGAATCCGAACCCATGACCTTAGTGTTATAACATCGTGCTCTAACCAACTGGATAACTGGCCAGCCCTCCTGCTATTTCTCTAGAACAGTGCCTGGGCCAGACTGGTGCTTAATAAACCTGTGTTTATTAAGCAAATGAATAAAGGAATGAGTTATCTGAGGCAGTCTGTTTGTCCATCACCCATCTGGTGCTAGCCACTGAAGGGGTCTCCAAAAGCTAGCAGTAACCTGCCACCCCAGCTTGCTTGGAGGATATGGAACACATGCTTTGGAGGGTTTCCCCTGAAATCTGAGATCCAGCCCCCACTAAAGCAAGCTGCCTTAGCTCCTGGGTTAAAAATTTGAATGTGCAGTTAATAAATGACACAAGACCAGCCAGCTTCACAGGAATTTGCTAGGACTTGGGCTGTAGCCTGTCCCTGATATTTGTAGGTGGCTTTTCCTTTTTGGGAGGAATTGCGGGAAGGAAACAGGACGGGAGCACAGTGGGGACACTGTGCTGGGCTGGGGACAGTGGCCGCCCAGGGCAGAAATGCTCAGGAAACAGCCTGGGATAACTGGGAAGTGAAGAATCAGGGCTTAAGCCCTCAGAACCAAGGCAGGATGGAGCCTCAGAAATTCTGGAAAGGGATCTCACCTACCCTCCCTGCTCCCCCTAGGCGCCTCTTGGGTCCTTCCAAAGCCACTAGGGCGGCTCCCATTTGATCACACCGTGTGGAACTCGTGTGAGCAATTATTGCGTACTTTGTAGTCATCTAGACCTGGGGTAAATCCTTGCTGCTGTTATTTACCTGCTATTAATGGCATTTGGCTGAGCCTTGATTCAAGCATTTATTGAGCTACCATATGCCAGCCACTCATCCAGGCATGTGAACAAAACAAGTCCCTGCCCTCCGGAGGTTGTTCTCGGGTAGGGGAGACAGGACCTGCAAGTTCACTCCCACGACAAGCGCCGTGAAGACAAAACAGTGTGATGTCACAATGACTGGAGGAGGGGGCAACTGAGCAGCGGGTCAGGAGGGGCCTCTCTGAGGCGGCAAGATCATTGGTTAATAAAAGTAAATGAATGTTGCTCCTCTCCCAGCGCCTGACAGACACTAAGCGCTCAACAAATCTTATAGCGACCCTCACTGTCCTTTTCATCAGTTGACTGCCCTCTCCCTCGGGAGAACATGAGCTCCTGGTGGGGCGCGGGCT